GGTCGGGGCGGCGGCGCGTTCCCGAGCGCGCGTACATGCAGGCCCCACCTCGCCGCCTGGCCGCTGGAAGGCTCGGCAGCCTGGGACACCTGCCACCAGCCTGGGCCTTTAGTCTCGACGGCCTCACATGTGCCTAGCGGGAGCGGTGGCGCTGCCCGTTCCTGACCCACTGCTCGCACTGGCCTCTAACCCAGGAGGGCCTGCTGCCAGTGGCCGGCAGCTACCTAAACCGTCATTGACACCTGTCATTGCATCTGCCCTGGCTGGTCCACAGCCTTTCTCATCCTCTGGCTTCTTTCAAAAGAAAACAAAACACAAAACAGGCTTCCTGACATATAATTCACATACGATTGACTTTGCCTGTTAACGTAGACAGGGACACACCAAGGCCTTTTCCACCCATCACAGCCTACTCCAGAAAGTTTCTCAGCTTCTCAAAGAGAAGCCGTTTTCCCTTTAGCCAGATCCCCAAACGAATCGACTTTGTGTCTCCATGAATTTACCTATGTCGGCAGCCTTGGTGATGTAGTTCTTAATAGTTTGGCTTCTCACTGCAAGGTCAGCAGTTCAAAACCACCAGCCATGGGCAGGAGAAAGATTAGGCTTTCTACTCTGTTAAAGAGTTACCACCTCAGAAACACAGAAGGGCAGTAAGGTCTCGGTGAGTAAGCCTTGACTCGAAGGCGCTGAAGTTGGGTTTGGGTTTGGGGGAGCCCTGTAAGTCCAAAACCAACAGCCACTTTTCAGAAGAAAGATGAAGCATCTGCTCCCCTCAAAATTTACAGTCTTGGCGTTGCATTCATTAACAAAAAAGGACATTTCAAGACATACCCTGAAGTACAATGCTGTCTGTGATAGTATTGTAACTGTCCATATTTGAGAAAATCCCATCAATGCCATTTTTATTCAGATTTATACACCAACCAAAAAAGCTACTGATTAAAAAATTGCAGAATTATGCAAACATCTTCAGTCTGAAATTGATCTAACATGCAATAAAAAGACATTGATATTTATTGGCAATTGGAATGCTAAGGTTGGAAACAAAGATGAAGGAACAGAAGTTGGAAACTATGATCTTGGTGATAGAAATGATGGTGATCAACCTGGTGTGCCAAGCCTTGGGGGCACGATACCACACCAACATGAAACAGCAAACTAACAGGTCTCCAGGCCAGCCCCAATCCCAGCTACATTGGCCCCCTCCACAGAAGAATGAACTACAGAGAACAGCACTGTAGATACAGCCTGGGGGGCGGGGGGAGCCTGTCCAGACCACACAAAGAGGGAAAGAGAGAGAGAGAAAGAGAGAGGACCGCATCCTGGCCCACCCAAGCCTCAAGGACAGCACTCCTCCTTTGGAGCAGCCAAGGCACAGAGAGGACCTTAGGGCTGGCCCCACCATAAGATACGATGTCCCCTCACTGACCCACAGTGCTGCAGGGGACAGCACTGGAGACACAGTGCTGGAATTGTACCCAGTCTATCTCCCCACACCAGGGCAAAAACATGAAGGGAGCACAACAGAGCAGCAAGGGGAGCAAAGCAACGAAGTCCCCCAAGGAACCCCGAAAATAGACTTTAGATTCAGGGGACAGGGCTTGGCACCTCATCAAACTCGATTGGAAAATATACATAAAGGTCAACAGACAGACCTGGAACTATTTAGAGGCCCCCTTTCTCCTTCTCCTTCTCCTCCTCCCCCTTCTTCTTTCCTATGTCTATCTATACAAGATAGGCAAGACACACAATCCTGAGGCGAAAACAATGGGACAGATGGTTGGGGCGACAGGGGAGAGGGGGAGGTGGGTAAAGGGAGAGGGGAGCCAACAACCCCAGGGACAAGGGAACAAGTGATCTAAAATTGATGGCGAGCAGGGCGTAGAATACCTGGTAGGGTTTGATCAAGTACAATGTAGCCGAGAGGAAGTACAGAGTCAAATGAAGGTCAAACATGATAGTGGGACAGGAGGAAAGTAAAAGGAAATTGAGGAAAGAATCTGGAGACAAAAGACATCTATAGAAGTATCAATATAGGCATGTATATATGTAAATATATTAGTATATAATGATAGAGATATAGGTCTATGTACATATGTTTATATGTTATGTATCAAGGTAGCAGATGGACATTGGGCCTCTACTCAAGTCCTACCTCCATATAAGAACATTTTGCTCTAGTAACCCGGCATTCTGTGATACTCACTTTCCCGATAAGGTCGCTGAAGACAAAATGGGTGCATAAGCAAATGTGGTGAAGAAAGCTCATGATGCCTGGCTATTAAAAGATATAGCACCAGGGGTCTTAAAGACTTGAAGGTAAACAAATGGCCATTTAGCAGGGAAGCAACAAAGCCCACATGGAAGAAGCACACCAGCCTGTGTGACCACAAGGTGTTGACTGGATCAGGTATCAGGCATCAGAAGACCCCCCCAAAAAACAATCATGTCCATGTGAATGAGGGTGCTGGAGTGGAGACCCAAAGCCCATCTGTAGACAACTGGACATCCCTCAAAGAAGGGTCACAAGGAAGAGATGAACCAACGAGGGTGTAGTATAGCACCGATGAAACACAACATTCCTCTAGTTCTTTAATGCTTCCCCCCACCCCCAATCATGAACCCAGTTCTACCATACATATCCTGCTAGACTGGAGCATGTACACTGGTACAGATATGCGCTCTTGACACTGGGAATCCAGGACAGATAAACCCTTCAGGAACAGTAATGGGAATAGCGATACCATGAGCGTAGGGGCAAGGTGGAGGGAGAATGGGGGGTTTACACCCTACTGATAATGGTTCCTATAGAGACCCAGAGACCACCCTCTCATTACTGTGTTACCCTATAGTGTAACCCCTCCCTGTGATGTATGTCTCTACCTATAATTAGTGGGCTGGCTTGCCCCCAAAAGGTATATAGGCGTGGGTCAGCAATATAGAGCTCTCGGACTCAGACCTCTCTGACTCTGACCTCCTTGCAGCTCACTCCCTGGTCACTCCCCTCTCCCTTGTTCCCTAACCCTCCTTCCCTTCCCCCTCTCTCCACGTGGACCACCAAGCTGGGCTGAGGTGAGCAATGTTGCCATGTAACGTGTCTGACTGTATTATTGTAATATCTCTCATGCTCTCGATGACTCTAATATGATACTTATACATCTCAACCGTACAATTGTGCATTATTGAACCCATAAGTAGTATTACTGAATCCGAGTAGAAGTAATAGGAGTATTTGTGGTGGGGGCTGGCCCCCCACCCTCCCTCGGCGTCATTTTTTAAATTTAATACTACAAGAAGAGACTCTGAAACTTGTCCTTA